ACTCTTCTACCTTCTCCCCGACCAGACATACTGCCCGAAGACCGTGATCGCGTGTCGTAGTGCTGCCAATGAATTCTCTATGCGGAGGTACTTTTCCGCGAGGTTATAGAATCTGGTGAGGGAAACATCGTCCTCACCTGTAATTCTTTCCATAGGTCGGTTTACGGCGAACTCTGTCTATTTGAGAGTTCGGATTGACTCTTAGGGCGTGAGCCACCTTGTTGAGTTCCCTGTGAAACGGTCGATATAATTGTAGGACTCGTCCCTTTCTTGCCTTGTATTGCTGAGAAGCCAAAGGCACAGAACTTCCGATTTCTTGGAAATGCCATAGGAACGTCATGCTTATCTAAGGCCACGAACTGATCGTTCCCGCTGGGAGCGACCTTACCACCGCTTGGCATGAGGTTAGAGTCACAGCCAGGCAACGACATTTTGCAAGATCCAAAACCTGGTGAGCTCCATCAGGTCTTGAACTCATCACAATGATCCTGCGGGTCATGGTTCCCATCGAACGGCCGCATGTCGGACATTCTGAAACCTGGTGGGGTGGAGCAGTAACACTGCGGAGAGAAGGAGGATGCGGAGGCGACTTGGCCTGCTCGTTCTGCTGCTCTCTCAGCCTATCCAGAGCTCGCTGCAACTCCTCGATTTGCGATAACAAGTCAGTTGGGGATTGCTTTCACCCACGTGAGTCCGGCCCTCGCGATTACGATTCAGGAGAGTCCGGAGGTCGACTCATCTTCGCCTCGACCGACGTTTTCGACCGCTCTCGACACACACTGGCTAGAGGCGTGTGAAGGCGATGGATGGTGCGGGGTATTTTCACGACCCTCGCGTGGTATGAACCGCCCCGAGGGTAAGGACCATCATCACGATAGCGATCAGGATCGTTCCGTTGGCGTGGATAAGAATCGCCCCGCCCAACACTTTTATTGGTTTCACCGCGACGTGGCATGGGACAGTTCGGGATTTATTTTTTCGTCGAGTCTCAGTTTTGCCGGCACCCTGCTCGAGGCACGGTTTGTGTTCGCTGGCCCTTTGGAGCCTGTAGGCTTGCTTTTTGCTACTTGCTTACCCTTACTCTACGCGCTGCAGTGCTCACGGCACGAGTTTATTCCTTTGCCGCGCTTTCGCGCGACCTGCAGGCGTTTTTGCGGTTGCACCGCCCCAACTGTTCTAGAGGCACGCCTTGGTCCGACGGTCCAACCTTTGTTACCGTCTGGAGAGTATTGTCGAACCTCTCCAGTAGCCTCTGATGGCGGGTCAGCTGCAATTTGCTGGGATATCCACCGCAGCAATTTGTGGGGATGGAAGTATTCTGGAAGGGGTATCCCCTTGGGTCTGGGGAACTCCCTCACCCGCTGGTTAGCTGTTCAGGTTCAGATTGGCGGGTCATCTGTTGCTGTAGGACCATTAGGTTAGAGATTCTCCTGAAGGATGAACACTAAATCTGGCCCCTCCTTCTAGCGCCAAACTGTTGATGCGTGATTTTGGCACCAACCAATTGACACATGCGTAACGTTGATTGTCAAGAGACACACGTGATTATGGGTAAAAATGTAGAATAAATGCAATGAGAGCCTTTTAAATTGGTTCGGATGCTAAGGTAACAGTCCTACTCCACTGATTTGTATTAATATAGTGGGTCAGTCGCAACAGCGGACTGACTTACAAATGATTGGCAAAAAAGTAAATACAAGTTATCAGAGAGAGAGAGAGAGCTAATTTCCAGTATAAAATAGCCAAATCCCCTTAATGAGGGGTCTTCCTCTTTTATAGTGAGGTGATGTCAAGTATCATCAGTAAATCCATGGGGTTGTGTGAATGTCAGGATTAAATCCTGCTTTATGTCACATTTCCCACCTTCCAAACTAATTTCACGCATTTGGAGCAGGAAAGGGACACGTGGAGCTCCGATCTATTGGCAGGCCTGACGTGTGCTTACCATTCTGACAGGAGCAGGTCACCCCCCCATTACGTGATTTCCTACGTCAGCCCTTGATTTTCCAGGAGTAACATACCATAAGATAATTTATTATATATCAATTCCCAACAAAGATTTGGACGTGGCGAGGCTGTTGCGAAGTACCAGGAAAACAAAAACTAAGAGGTATTATCAGTACCTCCCTGAGGTTTCAACCAACTAGTTTCACCCAAATGTATGAAAAATCTTCAAGTATCTCCCCTGAGTTCTTAAGTTTCCACAAGGACCTCCCTCCAACTCCGATTTCTAATGCCAAGCCGTTAAAATGGATGGGCAAAATAGCCTTTAACGAATAAGAAAATTGAAAAGCATAAACTATAATATAATAAAAGGACTTTACAATATTGAAATTATGAAATAAATTCAGAATTAAGAAAATTAATTTCAAATAAATTAAGGGACCGTCCCTTTATTTATTTAAATTTTTTTTTTTTTTAAGTATGGACGGGCATCTATTTTATGTGGACTCCTGTCCATAATAAATGGACTCCCGTCCATGTAATATAGACGGGAATCCATCGTTCTTTTCGATGGACGAGTGTCCATATATATGGACTCTCATCCAATAACAATGAACGACCGTCTATGTTGATAACGATAGTTCACTTGCAAATATTGGTTCATGGATACGTGGTTGGTCTGAGTCACGGGACACGTAATTCGGTGTACAGTATCGGTGTCCGTAGCATTGTTGATAATAAAGGACTTTACAATATTTGAAATTATGAATAATTCAGAATTAAGAAAATTAAGTGCAAATATAAACTCCACCCCCACCCACACCCACACCCCAACAGAACCCAACACTAAAAAACACAGAAACTGTGCAGCTACACACTCCCCACTCCCTTTACAACTGTCCCCACTCAAAACCTGAAAACCCATCACCCAACACATCGCAACTGGTTAGCTGTGTGACTATGTGGCTTCGACTTGGATTGGAGGTGGACGACAGTGGTTGGGAGGTGGTTCAGACTGATTTTCTGAAGTTGATGTTCGTGATGAAGACATCAAGTAAATTTCAAGGATAGTTAAGAAAAACCATAGGGACCAAATAGATTTTATCATTTAGTCATTATTAACTTTTCACATGTAAGATAGAATATACCGTTTAGAAAACGGTATCTAGTTTTAAGAGTGGTTGTTGGGGATAGTAGAAACCTCAGTGGAGGTAGTTAATAATAAGCCAAAAACTAAACTAAGGAGTCAGATTAGTCACGAGCAGTCATTGTGGCACTGGCTCTTAAAGAAACGACAAGTCACTTTCAATTTATGTGTAAACACTAATCATACATATTATTTAATCTAAAGGATTAGAACATTCAAACATAATTCTAAAATAAAAGATGCAAAATTTATTATAATAACATACTTATCAAACAATTCTTATTAGAAAAAAATAATTGAAGAGAGAGAAAGAAGAGAGAAGAGGATGTAAAATTCTACACCTTCTTTGGGGTTAGCATAGTTGAAAAATTTGAAGTAAAAAAAAAAAAAAAGAGGAAAGTCACAAAATTATCACACTGTCCTTCTTCAAACGAAATTCACTAATTGATACTGACGGAAAGTAACTGTTTATTATTTCTAAACCTTTTGAATACCAACTGTATTTACGACAAACTATGGGTGGGTGCATGTCGTTCGACCTTTCTGTTAAAAAAATAAAGCCTTATTACAATTTGTATTTCCTTCCATGGTTGTTAGTATTCTACGATACGATTCGATACAAGTCACCAACGATACGTATCAGATAGTGTATCATAAACCTTTTAATACGTTGATATGTATCATACGATACGAGTAATACGTTGATATGTATCATATGATACGATACGTATCCATTCATATCCTTAAAAATATCGATACAAATTGATATAACTTTATTAATTTGGGACAAAGGCCCAAAATTTTTTTGGGTCAAATCCGAGTCACCCAAACCGATTCACTAAAATCTGTCCAAATTTACTTATTTTGCAAGAAGAAAGTGAAAAGGAAGATGTGTTGTCCATTTTGCATGATAATAATAACACAAGTCGAGATACATATATTGACATTGATCTTGGAAATGATATAAATGATTGAGAAGAAATGATATAGATTCTTAATTTTGTGATTAATTTTGATTATGTAAGATCATCTCCGATGATACTCTTTATTTTGAAAAGCATCTTTAATAATTTTAAAATATAAAGAATATAATTTTTATTCAAATCGAATAGACTTTTTAAATTTAATGAAGATGTTCTTTATTTTTAAGAAAAAGACTTAATGGGAGAGAGAATTAATAAATAAAATGCATAGGAACTTGTAGTTTATTAATTAAAATTAGAATAGAGAGTAAAATTTGATTCTCTAAATGTGGAGAGTCAAACTCACTCTCTAATTTATATTTTAAAGATAAAAAGTCTATTAAACTCTTGTTTTTATGAATAAACTCTTTATAATAAAGAGTTTGAATCATATAAAGAGTTATTTAAAGATGCTCTAAGAGCATCTCTAATGGTGCTCTTTATTTTAAAGAGTATCTTTCATATAAATAAAGTGCATCTTCATTAATTTTTAAATATAAAAAACACAATTTTTATTCAAATCCAATAGACTCTTTAAATTTAATGAAGATGTTCTTTATTTTTAAGAAAAATACTTAATGGGAGAGAGAATTAATAAATAAAATACATAAAAACTTGTAGTTTATTAATTAAAATTAGGATAGAGAGTGAAATTTGACTCTCTAAATGTGGAGAGTTAAACTCACTCTCTAATTTATATTTTAAAGATAAAGAGTATGTTAGACTCTTATTTTTTTGAATAGACTCTGTATAATAAAAAATTTAAGTTATATAAAAAATTATTTATAAATACTCTAACATTATAATTTAAAGTCAATAATATCACAAGATTCCTTAATTAATTACGGGATAATATTAATTTTTAAAATTTTTGTTTGAAAAAGAGCCTCGATACGCGATTTGATAAGCACGTTTCCTTCGGCTATGTTTAAAAAGCAACCTAACAAGTTTGTCAAACACTTTCACTTCCAGTACTCTACTTCCACTTGGAACCAATCATGCTATCAACCTTTGTAACTTCACGCGCCACCACTTTCATCCCGGTAATCCCTCCAGTTCATGGCACTCACAACAACCACCTCCCACTCCGCCCCACATCCCTCCGTGTCACGGCTCAATCGACCGCCGAACCGGTCACCGCTGACCCCTCACCTCCACCCACCTCCTCTGCAAGTTCTCTGAAACTCAACAAGTACAGCGTCCGCATCACCGAGCCCAAGTCACAGGGAGGCTCACAGGCCGTCCTGCACGGCGTGGGCCTCTCGGATTCCGACATGGATAAGCCCCAAATAGGCATCTCTTCCGTTTGGTACGAGGGGAACACGTGTAACATGCACCTGTTGAAACTTTCGGAGGCCGTGAAGCAGGGCGTTGAAGAGGCGGGGATGGTCGGGTTTCGGTTTAATACAATTGGTGTGAGTGATGCAATATCGATGGGGACGAGAGGGATGTGTTTTAGCTTGCAAAGTAGGGATTTGATTGCTGATAGTATTGAGACTGTTATGAGTGCTCAGTGGTATGATGGCAATATTTCCATTCCTGGGTGTGACAAAAATGTAAGCTTTTTAAACATTATTAAGTTGGTTTTTAAATATGTAATGTTTATAAAGGTTTATTATTATCTCTTTTGACTTCTGGGTTTTTTTTCTTGTTAGTAAATGTGTAATGCATTCCTTGCATTTGGTGGGTTTTTGCAAGTTTAGGCTAAAATGAGTGGTCTCGTGTTTTGGTTTACGGTGTTACTTTTGAGGGATTGTTTTGTTTCAGCAAATGTTGGGTTTTCTCTTGGTGATATTTCTGTGGGTTTTGAATTAAGTTCTGGAATATGTAATTTGGTTTAATATTTATATATTTCTGGATTATTTTGTTTCTGTTCGGGTAACTACAGTATATGAAGCATATCTGCATTTATTTTATTTTATATTCCAAACATCTGCTCTGTTTCTGACTTGGTGGGATTTTGTGGATTGTTTTAGCTGTAAATTATGATCCTATGATTTCGGTTTAAGTTTTAAATCTTCTGGGTACGCTTTGTTGGGGGTGGGGGTGGGTAGCGGGATTAAGAGTTCATTTTTTAATATTTCATTTCTGCTGCTGTACAGCGGTTTATATCTTATTGTTGTAACTGTGACAAAATTTGAGCTCTTCTGTATTTTTTTTTTTTTTTTTTCCGCTGTGCCTTTGAAAGGCATGGTGGACATCATAGACATTGAGTCTAGAGCATTCTCCTAAGCATTATGGGTATCCTTTTTAATTGTTATTTTCCTGCGGTGTGATTCATCGCCGCCGTAAGTGCCATTTTAGCTAAAAATGTTTACTAATTCTATGATATTTTACAAAGTGATTGCTGCTCATCTTCGTCTTTCAGTTTCTCCTTTGAATTTTCCTTTGAATTTGAATTGACTTTGCTTTGGTATAGTTGGCATTGTGCAAAATACGTTCCGTAGCATAATTTATATGATATTTGAATCTAATGCCAATTAATTTGTAGATGCCAGGTACAATTATGGCAATGGGGCGGCTCAACCGACCGGGTATAATGGTTTATGGTGGAACAATCAAGGTTTGAGACTTGTGTTCACTTGTTGATATGTTTTGCTTGTAATGAACATAATTAGTTAGTTTATGATTGGTTTGTTTGATTCCACGATTAGATTTTTTTTTTTGCCGTAAAACCTTGTTGATTTTCACTGACATGAAAGGTTTTAGCTAGTTAATTCTCAATTCTTGCTCTCCAAATGACTTGTGTTCTTGTTAGTCTCCAAAATTTCAATTTGGCTTATAAAAAAGAATATGTAATGCACAGAAACAAGTTTAACTAGATTTTTGAGAGTTGCCATGTCCAACACCTAATGTTAGCATTGGTGCGTCTAACTTATTTCTTTGTTACAGGTCATAGGTTGCCATTGTTCTCATCTATTTCTAGTGTTGGTGATTTTAGATAATAAACATGTAAAATTTTTGGTGTGCACTTAATAAATGTTTTTTACATTATTTCTTTTGCAGCCTGGTCATTTTCAAGGCCATACATATGATATAGTATCAGCTTTCCAGGTACGCTAGAATTTTTTGTTCACTAAATGTCTGGGCAGTTTCTAAAATGCATTTACATTCTTAGATTCTTTTCTATTTCTATGGATATTTCTTCTCTCTTTTCTACCTTTTTTGATTCCCTCTATGACATACAAGACTCACATGACATGGAAGTGCCACATTTAGATGAAGTTTATATTGGTAGCATGCTGTTTGAACATTGGAGTAATATGCAATGGGCATTATTTTAATTGGAAGTAGGGAATGATATTGAATATGGCTCTAAAATAAAGTGTGAAGTACAACTGGACATATCTATGATATAGATTAAGTAAAGAAGTCAAGATTTCTCAAGCCATACTGGGTTCTTATGAATCTTTAATTCTCTGACAATCCTCAGACCTCCTATTCCTGTAGAAACCTATAAATAATGACCTTTGACCTAAATTGTTCTTGGTTAATTTATGTGTTGAAACACATGGAAAGAGGTGCTGTTAATATACTTCTGCTGAGATTGCACATCAAATTTTTGCAGAATTGTAAATTGAATATTCTAAATAGTATATAGACAATTGGAACCCAACTGATCATGTAAATTTTTTTTGTGCATTACGCAATACTATATTTGTGCATGGAGCATTAGAAGGAAATTAATTTCTATGTGGTGATTTATCTGTCATGACTTTTGGATATTAAGATCATGATGAAAAATTCTTATGCAACGGTAAATATCTTGGACTGCTTGAACAATATATTACGGCATCTGTTTTTATGAAAAATTCTAGAAAAGCAGTACAATTTTCAAACTGCCTATGATAATGCTTCTAGCAGATTGTCAGTGGCTTTTAGGTGGGACCTTTGTTCTTGTAGGAAGAGTTGAATTGCTGTATATACTTTACGAGACTATAACAATGCTCCAAGGGATGACTATCAACCTAATTACTACTTTTTTGTGATGCATTCCCATATGATTAGTGTTTTGAGATCTTTATAGAAGCATAATCAACCTGCTTTAAAATTGTGATTTATTTATGTGGAAAATTTCTTCTGACGATTTTCTCAATTCATCATCATTATCATGATGGGAATGTTGTTCCAGGTTTATGGAGAGTATGTTAGTGGATCCATAAGTGATGAGCAGAGAAGGAATGTACTCCTTAACTCATGCCCAGGGGCAGGAGCTTGTGGTGGAATGTATACGGCTAATACCATGGCATCTGCAATTGAAGCTATGGGAATGTCTCTTCCTTATAGGTAGAACTATGCACTTGCAGGTTCTTTCTGATTGGTGTTTTTAGGCCATTCTCCCTTCCCTTGGCTTGAAATTTGTTCATTTTTTACAGCTCTTCCATACCTGCTGAAGACCCATTGAAGCTAGATGAATGCCGCCTAGCTGGAAAATATCTTCTCGAATTATTGAAATTGGACTTGAAACCACGAGACATAATCACTCAAAAATCACTACGTAATGCGATGGTTATTGTAATGGCACTGGGCGGGTCTACCAATGCTGTACTACACTTAATTGCTATTGCAAGGTAAGGAGAGTTTTGTGCCAGTTTCTCCCTGTATACCAATAGTTTTCATCCTATGCGGATAGCTCAGTCAAGAATCATGGCAGGTCTGTTGGTCTGGAGTTAACTCTTGATGATTTTCAGAAGGTCAGTGACGAGGTTCCATTTCTTGCAGATCTAAAGCCCAGTGGTAAATATGTCATGGAGGATGTACATAAGGTATGCATTTTAGTGAAACATATTGTTTGTAATATTTTGTTTCTTATATATAATGCCAAGCTTTAAATTACATGGTGTTTTGTGTCATTCCTTATGCCTCAAAAACTTGACTCAACTAAGCCTCAATCTGAAACTAGTTGGGGTTGATTGCTGGATCCTTTTCTCAATTGGTACCCTGATCGGTTTATATGGTCATTAGTCTTTTTTCTTCACGAGTGCAAGTAATTGTTGTTTTTTTAGATTGGAGGAACACCAGCAATCATCCGATATCTTTTGGAGAATGGTTTTCTAGATGGAGATTGCATTACTGGTATGTAATATGGATTTTATGAGAAGTCTTTGCAGCCATTTGTTTATTTTTTAATTTTTATGTTATACTAACACAAGAAATTCCTACTCTAGTTACTGGCAAGACACTGGCTGAAAATGCAGTGAACTTCCCTCGTTTATCAGAGGGGCAGGTTGGAAGCATTTTCACTTTATTCAGAAATTAATTGATTGATTATTGCTGTCACTTTTTGTATTGTAATAACCAGCGAGATGTCTCTATATTGCTTTTGTTTTCAGGACATAATAAGACCACTGTCAAACCCTATCAAGAAAACAGGCCATCTCCAAATATTATATGGAAATGTTGCATCACAGGGTTCTGTAGCAAAAATTACTGGAAAAGAAGGGCTATACTTCTCTGGTGTTATTTTCTGTTTCTTACAGATTTTTTTAAGTCCTGTTTCCTGCTAGACTGTTTTAGTTATATTTAGTCCATTGTCTGTAAGATCATGGTTAAATGAATTTTCTTTTCAGGTCCTGCCCTTATCTTTGAAGGAGAGGAATCTATGATTGCAGCCATCTCTGAGGATCCTATGAGTTTCAAAGTATGCTCAAGTTTTATGTATAGACCTTTTTTCTTTTCTACTATTTCTATGTTGTGTAATCATGGGTAATTATTTGTTAGCCTAAACTAATATTTCTCGAGTATTTTGGGGAAAATATGAAAAATGTCAAAATTCGTTCCTAGCTCTGTAAGTAAAGCTTCTGAACTCCTTTTTTAGCACTTTAGCAGTCTCTTTTCAGTTTGAAGGTCACCTTTGTTGACACATGTTTTTTTATTTTTTCATTTTTTTTATTGGCTTAGGATTACACGAAAACCTGTATAAGTTCAGTTTTTCTTCCAAAAACTCATGGAGTTTCTTCTTCTGTCTACGTCAAAGTGGTTTTGGAGGATCTGTTTTTTCCTTACATTTGTCATATGCCAGGGAAAAGTGGTCGTCATAAGAGGAGAAGGGCCGAAGGGAGGGCCAGGCATGCCTGAAATGTTGACACCAACAAGTGCAATAATGGGAGCAGGTCTTGGAAAGGTATTTTTTTTCTTCAGATCTATGCTTGGATTTGCTAAATTGTTTGATTTGATGCTCCTTCTAAATTTTAAAATGACGTATTAATAACAATTATCTTTCGTTAACGATCATATGGGTGCTATCAACCATTGGCATTGGTGATTTAATGTGGTAGTCACTTTTTCTTCTTTGACCGTTAATTATTTGCTTTCGACTAGACTCGTCTTCCCCTGGTTGACGAATTGAATATTTTTCAGCTCTGACATCAAGTTTCATTTGGATATTGTCACTGTACATTGCAGGAAGTTGCACTGCTCACCGATGGTAGGTTTTCTGGAGGTTCACATGGATTTGTTGTTGGCCACATTTGCCCCGAAGCACAGGTGCATTAACTTTTCATATATATATATATATATATATATGTAGACAGAATTTTGTTGGCTCTCCCTCTTAATTCTTCTAGATTATACCCCTTTGTTGCTGTTCTTCCTAATCTATCCTTTTGTTCTCTCTATTCTTTGTCTGTTTCTCCTCCAGGTTATCCATCAAAACAAGTTCTCATCTGTCTTTGATTTACTTCAAATTTTTTCTTCCTTAACAAAACCAAAACGCATGCAAAGAACCTAAATTTTTGAATGAGGGAAATATGAATACTAAATTTCAGAAATATTAACACTATGATTGGTAGAATTGAAGGAAAAATGAAGTGAGGGAGATCACTCATCTTCCCTTTCATTTGTTTAAAAATGGAAGAGGGAGAAAACATAATCGTCAGTTTCACCATTTCATATCCTTCAAGGGAAAAGAAAAGAAAAGCCATTACAAATTAATGCAGCCATTCTCTATTTTGTGTCTTCCCTCTTACATGAAGTGTTAGAGAAGAAACAAGTGAACTCTTTGAGGGCAATTTTTTCCTTCAAAATTTTGATTAAGAGTACATTGAGTTACTTTGATTTCCTTTTACTATCATTAAGACTGCATTTCTAATTAATTCCAGGAGGGTGGCCCAATTGGTCTGATCCAAAATGGAGACATCATCACCATTGATGTACAGAAGCGAAGAATAGATGTTCAGATAACAGATGAGGAAATGGAAGAGCGAAGAAGAAAATGGACTACTCCTCCATATAAGGTTAACCGAGGAGTTCTTTACAAGGTATGCGAAAATACACCTTGACACCATCTTTTGTCTATACTAAACTCTTAAGTAAATGATCTCTTTGATTCATCTCCAGTACATCAAGAACGTGCAATCAGCTTCAAATGGATGCGTGACTGACGAGTAGTGGAGATGACACATTTATAGATGACTATAGAGCGTTACAGCGGCTCAAAATTCAGTCTTTTCCTATTTAAAACTTAATTTAGAAGTTTTGCTCTGTTGGGTATTTGTTCTTCAGTACAATTTTGAGATCCATGGATGTGAATGTGATTAGACTTTTTAGAGATTGTACTAATATTGGATTAAACTCTTTTGGGTCATAAAGAGTTTATTTTTAGTATGTTTGTCAAAAGTAAATTTTTACCAATTGTTTCTGAAAGTAAAAGTTTGGGTCCATTTGTTTTATTATTTTAGATAGGATTTTGGGAATAATATTGAGTAGTTGAATAGAGGAGTATTACGAGGTAAAATTTAAAAATTAAAAAAAAAAAATCCTATAGGTTTGCTAATTTAACTAAATATCTTAATATATAAAAATTTTGTAAAATGACAAAAACACTTCCACCGTTCGTAGTGTCAGATTTCGGCCATTACCATCGGAATTTGGTTGAAAAATTGCGTAACGATACATATCGGTCGAATCTGGCGGGTATGGCGTCGACATGACCTTTTCCGGTCAGATCCACAGATGTGGCCATCGACGGTCGCAAAAGTCCATCTTTTGTGGTCAGTGACAGCTAAAAATATGGCCGTAGTTGTTGGTTAACGATGACTATTTCTTTGGCCGTTAGATCTGGCCTTTTTCGGCCAGATCGGTGAATTACCGGCTAGTTCTTGTCGTGGTATAGGCCGTTGTGATCATTGTTTTAAAACCCGGACCGGAGGGCAAATTGTTTTGCTGTCCAGGTCACGGGTCAACCGGTCCAACCGGTTGGACCGATGACGTCAGCAATATTTTATTTTTAAAAAATTACTATTAACCCCTTAAATTTTCAATATATTTAAAATTCCCCTAAAAAAATTCAAATTGGTCCCTAAAATTTTTATTTATTCCAAAAATGTCCCAATAAAATTACCAATTAATCCCTAAACTTTTGATATATCTCCAAAATACCCCTATAAAATTACAATGTAACCCTCATAATTTTAAAATATTTCAAAAACCCCCCTAAGACCTAAATCAGACAGGAGAAGCTGTCGGTTCCCGGTCCGACCGGTCGGTTCGGTCCGATTTTTAAAACAGTGGTTGTGATAGATTCTGGCTATCACCGACGGTGGTTGTCGGAATCTGGCAAGTATGGGTTGGTGGGGGTATTTTTGTTAAATTTTAAACTTTTTTTTCTAGGGGTATTTAATGAAATTAATAAACTTAAGGGGTCTAAAATAATTAAAAAAAATATAGTAATATTTATCAAATAATGTGTCAAATTAGGAATGTGGGTAGAAATATGGAACCAAACACACCTATATTTTTATGAGTAATGCTATGCTTGCTCACGATCTTACTAACCATCTTATTATTCTTTGTTAAAATTACATATGGTACCCGTACTATGCTTTATATTTACACAGGATAGTAAGATGATTTATAAGATCGTGAGTAAGCATAATATTATTATATTTTTATACTTTTAACAGATTCTTCAAATTAAGTTATAAAAAAGGGTTTTGGGTGTTTATTTTATTTATCTTATTATGACTATAAGATCAATTAATATAAAATTTACCCATGGTTATATTATAAAGTATCAAATACTATTCTATTGGAGAGTTTTTTTTCTTTTTCAATAATCATAGGAGTTAAATATATTTTGTTAAACAGTAGAGTAAATAACCTTTGGCTTCGATCTTTCTTGAAAGAATGATGCTGTTTGCCGCTAATCTAATTTATAAAGTATTTCATGTACTACAATTTTATACTTAAATGAAATTACTTTAAAGCCATAGATTGTTTCCTTATGAAAGGAAACTTCTCATACCACAAACATTAATTTCCATTTTATGCGTAAACTCGATGTTCATACTTGATTTGAAATGAAAGTAGATACAGTTTATAAGCATCATCACGACATATGTTTTGCAACAAATGAAAGACTCAAGGGAAAGGTTCCGAGCCCCAATTTTTTAACACAAGTTTTAAACGGTTAGATTAAAACATTTGAATAGATGAGATTGCATCTCAGTTATGATAATTTCAAAATGGTTTAATTATGTAAGTTATATTGAATCTCAATCACTCAAAAGTCCTTTAATTCAATGACTTATAATCCTATAAATTGTGAAAAAAAAAAAAAAAATTTGTTTGTAAAGCTCTTTAATGAGTTGTGAAGTTCCATATAAAATAAGGAGAAGTAATTATAAAGATAATTAAAATTCGAAATGATCTAAAAATACCGTTGTGCAAATGCTAGCCATAATGGTGAATCAATTTCAACCTCTACAATAAAAATATTATCTTGTACAATTTGTTGGGTTTCTTTATTGAATATTCAACTCCAACACTTATTTCTATTATGCAATCAAGTTGTTAAAGGCCTTGTGGAAGTATCTCAAACACATTTTCTTCATTCTTCATGTTATGAGTTGCATGCTTGATAAAAATTTTAAAATGATATTTGTTTAATTAATCAAGAAATATTTTATCTCTTATATCTAAAAATCATATTGTTGTTAAATCTTTTATGTGCCGTTAAATTAGGATTGATTTATAAAAATCTAATTTTGTATTATCTTCTACATTAACTTTGTAAAGTTTTTACTAATATGTTTTTTTTTTTTTTTGGTTTGTTTTAATACCACTTGAAGAACAGAAACACGAAAATAATAAGAAAAACCGAAACATAGTTTTCATTAGAAGGTCAATTTTTACAGGCTTTTCTTCTAATTTCTCGCCAAACAAGGAGAGGTTCAATGATAAAACTCATGACCTAATAGTAAAAGCTTCGTGAAAAATGTAATAAAAAGAAAAGAAAAAAAATTAAAGCATGTTAAATAAAAAGAACAATGCCAATCGGGAACTGAGAGTGCCAATACCGATACGTATTGTACCATGTTTAATTGATTGTGAATTGTTTTGGTTGCTCTTAAGAGTGACGTGATTTAATCAATAGGGTGGAGACTTAATAACAATACTCTTAATATTATTTTAGTCTTCAACCTTTAAAGCTTTTAATATCATTTTGCGTGATGCTAAATAGCCCCCACTATTTATCTTTCAAAACCCCCTTTTTTAACATTTTTATTATAATATCCTTAAGAATTATACCTTGATGCACCATACATTACCTCCCTTAATATATATATATATATATTAAAAACAGGGCCATAAACACCTTTAATGAAGAGGAATTTTAGTGTTCACTGACAAGTATCAAAGTGTTACTTTTTACTCTATATATAGTAAACCCACATTACTTAGCTAGAACCTCATGCACCAGATTGGAAAATTTGTATTAACAAAATATTTTCCATGTTTATTTACATTTAAATTGAATTTTTCATAATTCATTGTTAGGTTTTCATGCTTACAGATAAAAGTCAATAAGTAATTAGTGATTTCGAGAAATTTTTTAGGGTTTTAAAAACTGTCAACAACTAACTGTTAAGAAATATCGTTTTTCTAGTAATCAAATACTTTATTTATTTTTTCTCTTTTTTATTTACGTAAATGTTGACCACATTACAAGTATCCTTATTTAGAACATTTTTTTTTCATTTTTTAAGTGCTTGTGTAAAAGAAGCATGATGGTTTAATGCTTAAGGTGTTTGTATATAAATAGGAGTTACCAATAGAAGAAAAATATAACTCAATTATAAGAATAAGAATAGTTTTTTTGAGAGCGAAAATGGTTAGCGTGGATCAAATTCGCAAGGCTCAACGTGCTGAAGGCACTGCCTCAATCCTTGCAATCGGAACAGCGAATCCTCCAAGTTATTTCGATCAAAGCAAATTTCCAGACAGTTATTTCAATATGACCAATAGCCAGCACATGACAGAACTTAAAAAGAAAATGCAGCGCATGTGTAAGAAATACTTTTATTTTTCTTTTAATATTTCCTATCTGCTGATTACTTTATAAGTTTCCATATTTCTAGCTATTCTATTATCTAACATATTGAGTACTCAAATTCGTGTATAGATACTGAATACATTCTAGGTTTGTTAGATATCGTTTACCAAATAGTTCTTTAAAATGATTTTACACGATAATAATAATAAAAAAAAAAGTTTGTATTCTCTATATTTGATAATGTGATGTATATGTATCATTTCCTAAAAATAAGATTTGAAGGAAACTTTAAAAAAAAAAAAAAAAAGAACATTTCTAAAATAGAAGTTCGAAAGTGAATTTGTTTTTCGTATTTAAAAAAAAAAAAAAAACCATTTTGTAGTAGTGATAGCAAAGAATATTTTTCATGTTTTCTAAATTCAAAACACCCAAAGTCCTTTTACAAAATTGACGTAAAAGAAAAACTTAGTACGTGAACTTTGAAGTAGTGTTGTAAAAACATAATTATCATTGATCGAAAAATTACTTTGTCCACCTTAAATGAAAATTTTGAAAGGATTTTTTATCTACACATCTCTCTGTGTGACAAATATCATCTGAGTTGTTATGGAAAGTATATGAAAGAATACAATATAACCAATACATATCCAATTATTTCAGGTGATAAAACCATGATAAAAAAACGACACATGTATGTAACGAACGAGTTTGTGAAAGAGAACCCGTATTTGCGTGAATACAGTATGCCTTCATTGGATGCTAGACAAGATAAAGCTGCTATACTAATATCAGAGCTGGGCAAAGAAGCCGCGAATAAGGCATTAGAGGAATGGGGCCAACCCAAGTCCAAAATCACTCACTTAATTTGTTGTACCACTATGGGTGCATTCTTACCTGGGATTGACTATAGAATTGTCAAGCTATTAGGCCTTGACTTATCTATTAAGCGAATCATGTTGTATCAACAAGGTTGTAATGGAGGTGGCACTGTACTACGAATAGCCAAAGACCTAGCTGAGAACAATAAAGGTGCACGTGTCCTCATTGTGGTCTCTGAGGTAACTTTGGTTGGCATGCATGGCCCTAGTGAGACTGATGTTGATGTTCTTGTTAGCCACTCCTTGTTTGGTGATGGCTCGGCTGCTCTTATAGTTGGTGCAGATCCTGTGCCTAGTGTTGAAAATCCCATCTTTGAACTAGTTTCTACAGCCCCAATATTACTGCCTGATAGCCCTGAGGCTATTTCTGGAGCTATCCGTGAGAGTGGGCTCTTAATTCATATTGGGAAGGAAGTTCCCGAACTTATCGCAAATAACATTGAGAAGAGACTGATTGAGGTATTCAAACCTCTAGGTATTTCTGATTGGAACTCAATCTTTTGGGCTGCACATCCTGGCGGACCTGCAATTTTGGACCAAATTCAAGCCAAGCTAAGTCTTAACCCAGAGAAGTTACGTGCAACTAGACATGTGCTTGGTGAGTATGGTAACATGTCAAGTGTAACTGTACTATTTGTTTTGGATGAGATGAGAAAGAAATCAGCTAAAGATGGACTCAAGACCACAGGAGAAGGATTGGAATGGGGAGTGCTTTTTGGATTTGGTCCAGGACTTACTATTGAAACCTTGCTCCTTCACAGTGTCAATGTTGCTTAGAGGCTTCTATTACTGATTTACTTTCCATTCCTTCTAGAGCTTCTTTTTTTTTCTTTAAATTTTAATTATAGTTATTTGTGTTTCAGTTTTTATTAAGAAGGATGTGTCGAGACTCCGGGAAAGTTGTTGTGATGAAAATTTTAATTTCTCATATGACATAATTAATAAAATATCTTATACTGTCACGAAGATTTAATCTGGATTTTTAATTATCTTCATCTATATTTAGGTTTTTTTTCTAGTATTATAAGAATCCAGTCTAAGTTGGCAACTGCCAAATGTTTTCTTTTTTTCTTTTACTTTTTTAAAATTCCGTTTAAACTTTGAAAGAAAACATTTATTGTAAATAATACATTTATATTATCAATGTTGGAATGGATTTATTTCAAAAAAAAAAAAAAAAAATGATGGAATGGATTTTAAAATCTCTCAAATACTGAGTGTCATTATTAAAATTTAAGGACTAATATAATGGTCAAGCTAAGAATATTAAAGATCACTTCATCTATTGAAGTTTGAAGATGTCTTGATCCTTCAGTGACCTTCTAAAGTTGAAAATTACAGAATGTTGGACTTGTTTAAAATTAAAAATAAAAAAAATTAGAGAGAAAATGAGAAAATTTGTATTAATTCTAGAGAATCGTATAAACACGGAAAGATAATTGGATATTTAGAAAATGAATTAAATACATCTTAACAAAACATAACCTTCTTTGATAGTCATATGAACCTTTGAGGGACTTTTAAAAATCTTAACAATATTCCGTAATTTGCCAGTTAACACAATTAATAGTTTAATACACGCTTTTTCCTTTACTGGTTAGATTTTCCACGTCAACTTCTCCTTTATTTTGAAATTTTTGAATAATCTTTATTTTATTCTATTTCATTTCATTGATACAAGGAGATTAAAAAGAAATACAAAGCGCTAGAGTACAGGAGAATACAAGAAAGTCGTAGCTGTGTCTTGATCCAATTTCCTTTGCTGTAAGGAAAAAACTAAACAAAGCCAACCCAAAGACTCAATCCTTTTTTGTTTGTTTTTTAATAATAAGCATCTAGATATGATATAGAGAATATATTCTCCCTGGGTTTCCAGTCTAAAAAACCGATCCAATGACAAACCATGAGATACATACTTAATCACAAAAAAGAAAAAAAAAAAAAAAACACATTTAAATTTTGTAAAGGAAATCAAGCCCTTAATTATGGCAATATTGTTTAGTATCATTAGAATATTGTGTGAGTTGTCAGAATGTTTAATCACCAAAGCGGTGCATTATTGAAGCTTGCAAAATTTTTCACCTGGTAAATGATACATTCTTCAGTTTTGATGCACACAATTTCCAGCCCAAAGGTGGTTATTATTTATGTTAAAATTGATGGTTGCATAAGGTTAGTTTAGGAAATACACTGGTCTTGAAAATTCAATACACTTAAAAGTGGTTGATTTTTCAATTGACATGTGTTTTCCTATGAAGTGGAGGATGAACAATGGCCTAGAAAGGCTATCTACTCAAAGGAGATTTTTTTTTTTTTTTGAATGTCATATGTTCTCATTTGCTATTTTCATAACCTTATTCTTGGGATCCTAATAGCATGTTAATTTCTCTCCCCAAAGGGGAGTTAATGGTGATGCACCAAGTATCCCTATGAGAAGTAGCTTATGAGGTTTTAAAGCTATTATGATTATTTGTTGCATGTAATATTGATTTGTTGCATTGTTTTTATAGTCTCCATTACTGTGAACAATAATAATGCCACAATTGAGCTTCTGACTGGTAGCAACTTTAGGAGATGGAAGCAAGATATTGGATTTGCACTTGGGATTGCTGACATTGATATGACCTTGTGAGTGAATGAATGACCTAAGCCCAATGAAGAAAGTGATGTTGCAGAAAAGGGTTTATATGCCAGATGGGAGAAGTCTAACAGATTGAGTTTGCTTGCTATGAAAAGAACCATTGTTGATTACCTCACTAGTAGCCTACCTCATTAGTGGTTTGTTGAAGACCACTAATGATAAGGAGTTTCTCACTACTGTTGGTTAGAGGTTTCAGGTATCTGACAACGCTGAAGCTGCTCGCTTGATGAGCGAATTGACTGAAGTAAGATATGACAGTTCCAAAGGAGTCAGAGAGTGTATTATGAGGATAATTGATATTCAATCGAAACAGCAAAGCCATCAAATTCCTATTAATGATAATTTTGTTGTTTATCATGCCCTGAACTCTCTACCTACAGACTTCAGTTAGATCAAGATAGCCTATATTGCTTAGAGTCAAACTTGAAGTGTTAATGATCTTATTTCCAAGTGTGTGGTTGAAGAGTAAAAGCTAAAGAAATTAAAGAAATGTATGAGATTGCTAATTTGGTTGCTTAATCAAAGACCCACAATAAGGGGAAGTGGAAGAACAAGAAGTTCAACTCTTATGGCCCTAAGAATGATGAGAGTTTTAAGAAACGAGGACCTAATCAAACTTAGAAAAAAGTTGATATGAAGAACAAGTGCTTCTTTTGCAAGAAAAAGGGTCACATGAGGGCCGACTGCCATAAGCAGAAGGCTTGGTTAGAGAAGAAGAATAAGGAACAAGGTAAGACACTTGATCTTATTTGTTTTGAATCAAACTTAGTTGATGTTCCCAAAGATAGTTGGTGGCTTGATAGTGGTGCAATTGTTCATGTGACAACAACATTACAAGGGCTAATCAATAAGGCATAATTCAAGTGAGAGGGAGTCCAAACTGAAAGTAGGGAACGATGTTGATGTGGAAGTTTGATGCATAAGATTTGTCAAGTTGACATTAGACTCTGGATCTGTTTTGTATTTGGAGATACTTTTTATGTTCCCTATTTTAGAAGAAACTTAATTTTTGTTTCATTGCTTGATAAAATTGGATACAGACTTGTTATTGGAAATGGAAAAGTTGATTTCTGTTTCAGTTATAAAGTTATTGGATGTTGTGTTTTATTGGATGGTTTATAGAATGTGTTTGTCTCTCAATCATTTTGATTATTCCCTTAATGCTGAAAGTGTTAGCCTAAAAAGATATATGATTAAAGAAAGATTTTCACTGTTATGGAATAAAAGGTTGGGTCAGAAAGAATTGACAAACTAATAAAAAAAGAGATTCTTCCTCCTTTAGATTTTCAAGATTTGGGAACTTGTGTTGATTATATTAGAGGTAAGTTGATTGAGACTAAGAAGAAAGGTTCAACCCAAAGTCAAGACATTCTTAAGATCATCCACACTTATATTAGTGGACTCTACTCAACCGCCTTATATGGTAGCAGATATTTCATCACATTCATTAATGATTTTTCTTAATATGATTATGTTTTCTGATTAAGGAGAACTTTAATGCTATTGAGAAGTTTAAATTTTCAAGACTGAAGTTGAAAAGCAAACTGGGAAAGTCATCAAGGTGGTTAGGCTTGATTGAGGTGGAGAGTATTATGACAAATATCATGATGCATGACAACATATGGGTTCTTTTCCCAAGTTTTTACATGATTGTGGAATTTTCTCTTAGTACACAATGCTTGGGACTCTTGAGCAAAATGGTGTAACTGAAAGGCGCAATCTCACATACAAGGATATGATGAGCAGGTCTAATCTACCTGAGTATTTATGGGGTGAAACAATCAAGACTGCATTGTATATCCTAAATAGGGTTCTTAGTAATCTATGTTGAAGACTCCGTTTGAACTCTGGACAAGAAGAAAGCCTAGCCTTAGACACTTTCAAGTTTAGGGATGCCCTGCTGAGGTGAGAGTCTAAAATCCTATTGAGAAGAAATTGGATCTTAGAATAGTTCGAGTTATTTCATTGGTTATCTCGAGCACTCTAAGGGATACAAATTTTATTGTTCTTCTTGAGGCACCATAGTGGTTGAATCCATGACGAAAATGTTCTTGGAACTTGATGTACCTGAAGGAAGCAGTTTTCAACCCTTGAAAGATTGTGAAGCAGGTTCGTTTGGTGCTATTCCCTTGTCTATTGGGTATGATGGTATGTTATCTGAACTTGTAGTAGAGGTGAGCCAATAGGTTTCAGAGACTCTTCTAGAACATGAGACTGCACAAAATGATGTCACTATTGAAGAACCTATTGTAGATCTCCCAGTAGATGAGCTGCCTATGATTGTTATGCATCTATAAATGTGTATGACATTTTATGTACAATATTATTGAGATGCAATATCCTTCACACTTTATATTTCATGTTGAGGTATGAGAGTATCTAAATGATGCATAAACTTAACTTTCCAGGAGACTTCATGCCTTACTTTAGGAGGTTTTATCTTTTTCTTTAACGGTGGAAATATTGTCTCATCAAAATCAAGAAAACGTGCGATAAAGATATCACTCGTTAGTGGTCAACAAATTTGATAATGGATGGTGAGTTAAAACATAATTCCTGGTTTCTTTATTGAGAAAAAAAAAAAAAATAATAATTAGTATATGCATCTACTTCTTCAAGGGTAATTTATCCAATATAACTATCACTAATTACAAATATGACCTCTTTAGGATCGTCAATTTTCTTTTGCAATTTTACGTCGTCATTTCCTCTTCTAAGAATTTTATGTTTTGCACTATTCTATATAAAATGCTTTAATTAGCATTCATCAATTTCATGTGTCTCACTATATTGTCCTTCAAGGACTTTAAAATCATATGTTTTTTAAACATTCTACTTATGGTGGACGCTAAAATTATATGACCATTGATTTGTCAACATTCACTTCTAGGAATAACCACATGGTAGTGATTTATAATTTTTTATCAAAATTATATGACCATTGATTTATTTAGCAATAAAGACACATTCATTAATTCTAGACATATTTATATCAATGATATCCATATGACTATTTCATGAACATATTTGATATCCATTCTAATTTTTCAAGAGTGGATATTAAGCACATATTTTCAATTACTGTCATAAACCAAACAATTTTAGCTATGAGGTAACGTTACTAATTTATATTCAGTAACTGTTTTGTGATGTCAAATAATTGACTTTCTTGAGCTTTAAGGAGAATATCTCCTTTCAACAGTCATCTCAGTCTTTTGTAGGATCGACAAGTCCTGTATCCTAAGAAATTCAACTCCTTGAATTTAGTTTAGGTTATGAAGAAAGATTAGAGCTTATCTTATAAAGATAAGTGAGTTTCTTTCCCGGATTAGCATCCTGTAGATGCAT